CTCTGTATAGAGAACATTGGCTAGGTAATGCTGTCATCAAGTAGCCTATCACTAGCAAACAAATAGCAAGCCAAACGATGAATTCATATATGAAATGCCAATGTTCCCCCCCCAAAAAATAAAAAAATAATACAGTCAATTAAGTGCTTAAGACCATTTAAAGACTCATTTGGTTAATATGCCTCCAGAGCCTTCAGTCCGTCGTCTGTTCAAGCTGTGAGCCCATGACATAAAACAGTGACAGAAAAAGAAACAAAAACACCGAAATACTAACAGGTGTCTTGCAAACCCACAAAAATAACCAACATTATGGAAAGAAGAGAATATATATACACATGGCAACAGGCTAATCTAATTACAAGTGAATGCCAAACAGCTCCAGGACCTTAGTTTTAAATTAGTACACCAGAGAAATGATTCATGTGGGTGTTCAATCTGAAACCCACAGTGCACGCACACATATCATGGGACCTGTGGAAAGTAAGTAAAATCCCCTTTGATGGAAGTAATAAAAAATGACTTGAATTTAAATCATGATTAGAAATTTAAATGTAATATTCATTGCTCAGAAGGTGATCTAATATCTCCTCCTCACATGGGTCTGGATGTAAAGGACATTGATGCAAATATGATTAGATAATCTGCAAAGGCTTTTTTGTTGTGAACTCTATTTATCTTATTCACTCAATTGGCTATAAATGTGCAACACCAATTTCAAAAGTTGGGACATTGTGCAAAATGTAAATAACAGCAGAATGCAGTAATTTGTAGAGCCATATTTTATTCGCAGCAGAACGCAGAAGACATAATAAACTGAGGAAAACTTGTCTGCATCAAACACATGTCTAAAAAGTTGCCACTGTGTGGCATCCTCTCTTCTTTTCACATCAGTCTATAAACAGCTGGGAACTGAGGAGAGTAGTTGGGAGAGGGATGTTGCTCCATTCCTGGCTCTTCTTTGTCATATTTTCCATTTCATGTTGCATTAAATGTTCTCAACCGGTGAAAGGTCTGACTGCAGACAGCTCAGTTCAGTGTCGGGACTCTACTATGATCAATTCTGTTGTAATACATGCAGGATGTGGTTTTACACTGTCTCGCTGAAATACATGAGAACCTCGCTGAAAAAGATGTCACCTGGATGGAAGTGCTGCTCTAAAAGCTTTCATCAATGATGGTGTCTTTTCAGATCCGCCAATTTCATAGGTACTAATGCACCTTAATTCCATCAGAGATGCAGACTTTTTAAATGAGCACTGATGGGAGCACTGAACAGTTTTCCACTTTGCCTCAGTCTAATTCAAATCAACTTTTCTGATTTTATGAATCTTTTTGATGATATTATAGACCAGGAACGTCAAACTCATTTTGCATCCAAGGCCACATACGGCCAGACCAGTGAAACCAGTAAATTTTAGTATAAGAAAAAGAAGTGCAATTTCACCAGTATGTCAGCACAGCAGTTTTTTAAAGATGTCTAGAAGCCCGAATTGCAGTTTTTGTCCACGTGGAACTTTTCCTAAGACGCTCATTTTATACCCACTCAGGCTACAGACCTGTTGCAAATGAACCTAGTTAGTTTATTATGTTTCTCCAACCGTTTCTTTTTAGCACCAAATGTTTTTCAAGCATTTTATTTTTATTGCCCAGCTTTTTTGAGACATGCTGTTGTTATCAAATCCCAAGATGAACTAATGTTTCGCTTGAATGTTTTCTCAGTTCAAACACTTGACATGTTTTCTATGTTCTATTGTGAATAAAATCTGGATTTATGGGATTTGCAGATCCTTTTTTATTTACATTCTTCCCAACTTTTTTGGAATTACCTCAAATCTGTGAAATACTGCGTTTGTGTCAGATGTAGCAACTTTCCAGTTATTATATTTCACTAGCTGGGCTCACGTCCTCATTTTTAGGTTTTAGTAGGTAAAGGTGAACGCTTGGACATGAATTGAGCTGCGGTCTGGGGAAGGCCCCGAAGGGAGTAACCTATATAGATGACAACCGGAAGACGCGGGTTTGGAGGCGTGGCCCCGCTCCTGAAATTCCGATACATAATCTCCAAATACATATAGGAAGTGGGTAAAATAAGTATTTAATATGTCACCAATTTGCCAAGTAAATATATTTCTAAAGATTCTCCCCAGATGTCGGTGACAACCGATCCAATCCACACATGCAATGAAATTAAACCATATGTCGATAAATTATGTTTGATAATGAGAAATGACACAGAGAAAAAGTACTGAGCAAGCTTGATGAAATGTATTTAATACTTTCTAGATGACAACCTAATTTTCTTTCTCGGAAACCATTTGAGAATTTCCTTGGCTGTGCTTTTGGGATTACTGTCTTGAAACGGGAGACGTCCACCCTCGTTTCATCTTCATCATCCTGCTAGATGGCAGCAGATTTTTATCAAGGACGTCTCAGTGCGTTTTCCGTTCATTCGTCCAGTTCATTCACGTATGCTGAAATACAGCCTCACACCGGGGATGTTCCCACCTCCAAACTACACTGTTGGCTAGAATCAGAGCTTTTGGGGGTGCTGAGCACCCAGAGAGCTGCCCATCCAGGCAAGAAAAACTTTACTCGTCATGATGAGCCTTCTTCCCTGTCTCTGTCAGTCCCTGCATCCTTAAATGTCTCCAGTTGTCCC